TTTTTCTTAGCGGGTTCCACTCTCTTGCGAGCGGTGCGCTGGCGAATTGTTTTTCGCCCTCTTGCGTTCTTCTAAACTCTAGTTAGTCTCTGCCTGCTCTGTGCCCCGTGAGTGCACGTTACTTCTTGTAGGCTCTCTGAGCCGTATTGTAAAACCACAGAGCAATAAACGTTTCATTAGACGATTAATTCATAGACAGTGTGTAACCTTTTTAGCCCTAATCAAACAATGAAATACATATAGATTATTATTTTCAAAAATGGCTAAATCAATCTCATCTTTTTTATGAGGAAAACAAAAATTATAAAACAATATAACTTAATGTTAAAATGTTAATATTATTTGTTAACTGTTAGTATTGATTTCTTAACAATAGCATTAACATTTTCAATTTATTGTTATAATACAACATAAATTGAAGATGTTAGCGTTAAAATTACGAAACCGATAATATCAGTTAACAGATAATATTTATCATTCTCAAGTTTGATTTCATATTGTTTTCTAAGTTCTGTTCTTCTTATAAAAAAGGTGAAATTGATTTAGCCAGTAAATATTAACTTATCAATAAAATTAGATATAATTTTTGTCTTTCTTGTATAAAAAGATAATTTTAACTGCTTTTGAAAATGGGCAAATTCATGTGTTTTAGAACTGTGATTATTTGAATATGCAATATATATGTAATTAAAAAATATATTTATTTGTTAATTTCAAGATTAATTTTTTATTTCTAAAAATAAGAAACACAATTTTCTGAACATTGTTATAAATATATATTTGTTATAAACATTTGTTATTTTACAATGTATTAACATTTGGTATATGTATGTATACATGAACAAATGTGTGCTATGTATTTTTTAAAAATATATTTTAATATTTTATAATAGCATGAATCGACCAATAAATGGACAAAATGGCAGCCATAAAAAAAAAAAAAAAAAACAAATAAAATGAAATTATTAATAATTAACGAGAGGGAAGTTTCAACATCTATTTATTGGTACATTCCTCTATTAACTGGTGTCTTCTCAATTAGTCATTGACATACCTGTCCATTTACTGGAGGATACATCCTATAAAACAATCAATATAATTATTAAAATTTTTGAACTTATAATACTAGAAATACTAGAAATACTGAAATTTTTTAAAGACTGAAATACTTAAGATTTGTATAGCAATATATCAGGGTTGAGAAAGTAACTTTATAAAAGTATCTAGTTACAGTTACAGTTTCTTCGCTAAAAATGTAACTAGTTACAGTTAGAAGTTACCAATTTTGAACAGTAACGCATTACAGTTACAGTTATTTAAAAAGTAACGAATCGTTACTTTGCAGTTGCTTTCTTGCAATAAAAATAAAAATAGAAAATCTGCATTTGAATTGTAAAGCGTTGATAGAGGCATTTATGCATAAGTGCAAGGCCTGATGTAATCTGTGGAGGTTTAAAATATATATGAAGTAACTATTAATTTAACTAGTAAATTAGTTACTACTTATCGAAAACATATAACTGAGTTAAGGTACAGTTACAGATGGAGAAAAAGTAACGATGTTAAGTTAGAATTATCAAAAAAGTAACTGTAACTTCGTAACAAGTAACGAGTTACTTCCCAACCCTGCAATATATCAAAGAAGTCAAATTTCTTTCACGTAGAAGAAAACAATCTTACAATTTCTTTTCTTTTTGTGACTGCTTCTGTCGTTCAGTAGATTTTACAAGCCAATATTTTATTACATCTTCTATTACTGCTTCAGAACAACGATGCGTTCTTTGAGTGGCAATTAATATTGCTGAGCAAGTTCGAAGAGTCGAAAAATTATGTTTACCTTTGAAACCTATCCAACTATATGTCTTAGCCAAATCATTTGACATTATTTTTGGCAATACACGTTTTATCATATGTTTGTAAGTTGTTCCTCCAATTTGCATTATTTCTTTGACCTAAGATATCCAATTATTAATTTATATAAATTGTAAATAAAATAAAACCGTATTAGTAAATTTACTTACAAAATAGTTGAAACTTTTATCCTGGATTAAAAAGTTTTCTAGTTCTTCCAATTCTTGTAATTCTTTCAAAGGAAAATTATATCTTTTAAATATGGACTCTTCATTTGATACGATTGGTTCATCTTTCTCAGAATTTGCTTTCATTAGTAAAACACTAAGATCCTCTGACATTTGTTGTTGTCTAAGACTAATTATTTGCAGTTGTCGTAATACTTGTTTTTTAAAATTATCTGAAACATAAACTATCATTATAAACATATATAGATAGATAATGTCCATCTTTATACATAGCAAACATTACTGCAAACCATTGATTATTATTATAATATATTTATTTTTATTTATTTTTTATTATTATTTATTATTTTTTATTAATTATTATTATTTCTATATATTATAATACATTTCAGAAAGAATACATATGTATCAAATTTTTTTAGGAAAAATAAAAATAAAATGTAATATTACCACATAGATTATCAGATGGTTTTAAAGTTTCACTTGAACATTCATTGTAAGTAGATGTACTGGGTAGATTTTCGTGATTCTCTTTCTCATAATTATGTTTTTTTACTATACCTGATTCAACCACATATTTATTTGTGACTGTCGATTTCACACCAACTGTAAAAATTAAAGTTTAAAATAGTACTCTCTTTATTAAAATTAAAAGTTGAGCAATGTTTACAAAATGCTAATTAATATTATATATGTATATATATATACTAAAACATACTTTTAGATGGTGAAGAAGGCAATTTTGTATTCTGTGTATAATCATTTTCGGAATAATCACTTGAACTTTCAGAATTATTGTTGTTTATTTTGTGTGCTATAATAAAATGAAACATTCGACATTTATCACCAAGATAAGATATTTTATAATACATTAAAAATGGATTAAGTCTTACTCTTTCGTATGGTATATAACGGATTTTTACATTGAAGGGTACAATCACTCTCAATCTGAGTAATATCAC